CTCATTAATATGTCGTATATTGCTCATTGCTTTTCAAATTGTTACTATTAAAATGACAATTATGATGTGTTATGTGCAAGACTTTTTTTTACAATAGTTATATGAGATGTTTCATTAATCTCAGATTTCAGGCCAAAACCACATTTACTACTTTACTTTACAGGGACCCAGGAGAGTTACTATATTTAGCCAAATTCATATCTAAACTGGCTTTCACTGGTTACTGATTCACAGGCTATTTTTTCCATTCAGGTGTTCATCACAGCAAACTGAAATCATGATTGCTTTTTATTTTAAAACCTAACCTGTTGACAGATTTATATATATCTGTATCTATTTACTATGTACTGTATATTTGTGCGTGACAATCAAAACAGTGGGTGACAGAGAAACAGGCTATAAAAAAACAGGAGGCTTCAGGAGTCACAGGCTTTATTGAATATGTCATCACCACACTTTTAATTTGTCAGTAATACATGACTGGAAACTCAAGGCAAATAAATGAAGAAATGAAGAGAAGTAGATTAAATGACACTAGTGAGGGAATGGTGTAATAATCATGACAACTGTTTATATGAGTCCATGCAGAGTATCATTGCAAGTGATGTGTGTGTGTCACCCTGTAATCATTGAGAAGAGGCATGAACACTACCACACCCGACAAGAGAAAACGTTAAAGAATATTATGACTAAATACACTTTCTCCTCAGAACTAAATCTACTGCTCCATAATAATAATAATAATAAAGTAGTTAAATCGCTGATGGCGTGAAGTGCACTAAAGCTACAACTGAATTCAAACCAGGTATGGAGGTGAACACAAGATCCCGACTCTAATGAAACTACAGGGCAAACACTGAGCGTGCAGACGTGTGTAGTATGAGCTATCATAGAGTAAATCGAACAAAGTAACACAATGACATGTTGAACTTTTAACTTGCCCTGCTCGTATCATTGTGCATCCAACACATCTCAGAATCTGATTCATCTCAGCTCTGAGAAAGGATCTGGTTTCCTGGTATTATTTCAGCCTGGCAGTTACAATTATCCAATTTCTGAGCTGTCCTGAATGCATCTTTATCCCATAGCCGAGGCCAACTTGTTTTTACAGGGTCCTCCAGTGAGTGAGCTCATTCTGGAGCAAGAGGCCAAACTAAAGAACGCCCTGAATGTGTGGAGGATGGATTAGCATACACTCGTATACACGTGCACACACCACGCATTAACGTCATCTCCTAAAAAACACGGCAGACTTCCTATTTCTTTAAGTCACTCTGACACAATATATTATAAACTTTTTACAAATAAAAGCTTCAAGGATTTATAAGCACTGTTCAATTCATAAATATATGCAGCAAAAATACAATACAATAAATCTCTTTAGGAATCAAGACAGGACATAAAAATATGTAAAAATCTTCACTAGACATAAGGGTTATAATATCAGACTCATTCAGAAGTGCTAAGCTTTTCTTCCCTATCACAGCAGAGCCACACATAGACTGAGTCTATAAGGAAAACCATAAACTGTAGATAAAGATGGACGAAACGACAGCTTCCCAAAAGTGAAGCCAAATCATCTTGATCTCCCCCTGGTGGCTGGCTGCAGTATAGGTCATAAATCCTGCTTACTCTATGTTAGTGGATGAGACATGGATACAATTAAAGAGTTGAAGTAGGCAGATTTGAATACTTTTTTGTGTTTTGTCATTTAAGGTAGTTCTCATCACACTGATGTGTTTTAGTGCTAATTCTTTCTGGTACGTTTGGTTTCTGGTAAGATCTGATGGCTACTGCGCAGACTCGAGCTCCAAATAAAATCTTTGGCACAAAATGGCAACATTCATATCCAAGATATTTTGGCTTCATTTCTGAATAGTGGTAGAGACACTTCATCCATCTTTACATACAGTCTATGATCTGAACACAGTCTCCTGTGTCCTTTTTTCTCTTGCAGCCTCTTGTTTCATTTCTAAAATCTTCTTGTTAGCAGTTGTGGCCACATATTTCTTCAGAAGCTAATGGCTGCTGACTACTTCCACTTGCATGATGGAGTGTAGCAAACACAGTAAATCAACATTAGTGTTAGCTGATAAAAGTTCTGCTGTTTCAATGTGTTTTCAATGTGCCTTTGTATGTTTTGTGTTGAGCATCATCAGATTTGGTCAAAAAAGGCCATGACCTCGCTGTATGCTTTATGTTCTGAGGAAAAAGCAAAGGAACAATGCATTGCATGCAGCTTTGAGATTAAAGTACTTTTCAAATAAGTATACATGTATTTATTCTTGCTACTTTGTTGATAAAAGCCCACAAAACTGAACTCTATCTGGGTTACAATATTCTAGTATGTGCAATATGACCCAGATGATATTCTGTTAACAGCAGCTGAGAGGGAAACCAGGACCATCCGCAGTCTTTTGATTAATGGCTCATTATTACTAAGGCAGTGATTTTCAAAGTCTGGATAGGCACCTTTAAAATACATGTATCACGAAAAGAACATGCTAAACCATTTTAGCACGTACCCTCTCAAATCTCTGCAATGCATAGCCACAGTATTTTAAAATAAAGGTGTGCTTTCAAAGTAGTAATTTTAAAATATATAGAGGCGTCTAAATTAAAATCTGAAATTGACATGTGACTGCCCAGAACGGGTTTGAAAATCACTGCATTACAGTCAGTCATAGTAATAAAAATCAATCAATAGCAATAAATAGTAGGAGTACAATATGTTAACATCTAGAAATCAAAGTGCAGTAAATATTAAATATTAAAGGAGAATACAGCAGCTTTTGACATGTTTCCAAAGTTTCCATAAGATATGGACCTGTGTGTCAAAAACTGTAATAGTATTTTAATTGCAATTTTATAATTACTCATTAATGTGAAACACCTCCTAAGAATGTGCCATAGAAGTCCACAAAAGCTATTATAAATAAAGAAAAAGTTCAAACGGTGACATGACAGGCTGTTCATTATTATTACTATTGTCATATTGTTTCAGTCAGTAAAAAATCAATTTGACTTTGACAGCAGGACTTGTCTAATTCCAGCCACTAAAACATAATGAAAATACAGACTAGTTAAAAAGTCTTTATCTGTGAAACCATCTTCTCTTCAAACATGTTCTCCAACAAACAAACCGACTAACCCACTGGCTCTCACCCATAGTTCTGAAAGCACTGCAGACGACAGTGGCTACTGACAGACAGGGATGTGTGTTGTTTTATGAACAAACTAAGGAATAAAACAACTGCGGGACTTCCTTTTGGCTTTTAAATGGCTGACAGTTGAGTGCTGTTGTTGCTCAATCCTTCTTCTGATTGGCTAAGAGGGAGGCCTCCCATCGCTGCGCCATGGCGTTCTGTCGTTGAGGCACTGAAGAGAGGGAAGCAGGGAACTGGAGGGAGGGGGAGATTCAGCTAAACCACTGGATCCAGGTTATATGGATGGATGGATGGATGGATGGATGGATGGATGGATGGATTTTGAATAAGCAAAATGAACAGAGGATGGGATAGTTGGAGAAATTGTGGCGGAGACAGAAGCAGGAGTGATGGGTAGATGAAGAAATGAGCTGAAGAATGTTTATATTTGCTAAATTGTGAACTAATGGATTAAAGAATTAATCAGTCCAACTGATTAACAATTCAGAAAGTTCACAATTAATTAAGATAACAAATGAATGAATGAATAAAGGAAGAAATCAATTACCCAACAAGGAATTTGAACGAAAAAAAGTCATGCCATGTACTTTTAACTAGATATGGATATTATGTGAGATACAGACTCTGTCAGTGACTGAAAATCTGTCGGATAAACTAATACATGGTGTAGGAAGAATCTGTGTGTGTGTCTGTGTGCATTTATGTTTGTGTGTTTGTCCGCCCACCTTGTGGTCACAAGACAAACTGGCTCGTTCCATTTTGCGTGTTCTGGACGGGGATGAGGGGGAGGAAACACATCTGTCTGGAACCTCTGGCACTGGATTGAAAGTAGAATCATCAAAATGACCATTTACATTACACCAGGAAATATGATTATTATTTTACTAGAGTATCCTTAGAGGGAAACACAACAACCCACTGAGCCTAAGAAAAAAACTATTTTGTGTACAGCTACAAATGACAAAAGTAATTGTAGAATGTTCTGTCATACTTTCAAAGTTCTTTTCCAGTATTTTCCCTGTGGACAATACGTACCATTGAAACTGATGTTATCATTCAGGCCTGGAGACACCAGCACCGTATCGTACCTCTCCCTCCCTCTCCTCCACTCCTCCTCTCTTCTCCTCTTCCACATCTCCTCCCTCTGCCTCCTCCACTCCTCCTCCCTCTGCCTCACCATCTTGATCTCCTGTTCCACCAGTGACTGGCTGCTGAGGGAGCGCAGCTTAAAAAACGGATTGGAAGAGAAAGTGCTCTCCTGAGTTTCCATCGTCACTGGGGAAGCGGAGCTCAGGCAAAACTCAGAAGCGCTGCGAATGATTAAGTTGGAGGTTTCCACAACAATGACGTTGGTGGAGGGCACCACATCCAGGCTTGTCGGCCAATCGGAAAGACCCCCGATTGTGGAGGAAATTAGGCGGTTTCTGGAGGCAGAGCTGGAGGAGTCGGGCTCCAGAATGATGACATTATTAGCTGTCATTTCATGGTAGAGAGATCGGGGAAGGGAGGAGGAGCAGGGAGGGGAAGGGGAGATGGACAGAGTAGGGGTGCGGCAGGCAGGAGGTCGTGGTGGAGATCGTCCTGTCTGCAGGGTGGATGGTCTGAACACAGAACAGAAACATCACAAGGGTTTAGTTTTAACTCAATTTATCCTTGTCAACCGTTAAAGGAAACCAAAATAGTTTTGGATTTATTTTTTAAAGATTTAGATATTTCCTATATAGAGTGTTTGGAAGAAATACAACTTTAACAAAGGATGAAAACGTCACTGTAAACCTCAGCTCTGCTGTGCTTATGCTTCTTTTAAGCTTATTGTTTCTATAGATGCCTCTCTCAAATTACTTTACATGCAATAGATGTTTTCTGACAAATCCCCTGTCCACAACTCCTTGGTGATCATAGTGGAGCTCAAAATCCAGATGTTTTCCATAGCGCTAAAATGATGGTGAATACTGGAATTGCAGTTGTTAGGTGACCAGTATGTCTTCAAATGACTGCTAATTTAGTTCAGTGTCTGCTGACATAAGGAAACTCTTTGTAAACCTACAACTATATCACTATGACAATGTGTCGCTGTGCTTAAGTACATTTCATCATTTTTATTCGTTTGGTCAAACTATTTCATTTGTTTTATTGTATTGCTATTGACAACACTAAGTGGATGAGATATGTTTTAAATTACAAACCTGGTTATATTCTCATTGACTCCACATTGTAAAAGGGAAACAGCTTTTTGAATTGTCACTTATTCTCATTCATATAACATAAAGGCTCAGATTTTGATAGTCATACTGTCTATGCAAACATGCAAATACCAGTTTATCTCACTAAACCTGGGTCCTGTTTCCAAGCATGTTATCCACATATGATGATTGAACTTCCAATAGGGCTAAGATCATTGAACAGCTGATGTTCAACTGGTGATGATATCATATCCGTGATGACTGTCTATAATAAAGTTGACTTGGGTGTTTAATGAATTATATTGCTGAAGCCAGAAGAGCTCTACACAAAAAAAGAGCTGTGATGAAGGATTGATTTATTTTACCTGGGTATAATCAGACCCTGTGCAATCATCCCCCTCTCTCTACGGTGCCTTTCTTCTCTCTCCAGAGTCAGTCGGATCTCTCTCTCCACAGCGCTCTCTTGCTCCTCCAGGGGGCTGCGGTATGACGAGTCATCCAGGCCTGAGTCCTCTGAACTGGGGGACAGGGTGGAGGAGAGTGGGGGCTCCCTGGGAACTGGTGGATTTATCTCCCTTATAAAGGACAGGAGGAAACCCAGCGTAAGATAAGACATGCTAACACCAACAACCACCAGGACACCGGAGTTGTTAAAGTTCTTAGAAAAGATTTTGATATTGGTGACTTTCTGCTGATTAGTCAAATCATATGCATGCATATAATGATGTAATAGAAAAAGTGTGGATGAATCAAGGTATTTCTTTTAATTTTCCATCAGACAGACATCTTCTTTTTTGATATACAAACTAATCCACTTCATCTAAGCATAAAACATGTTTGCAACAAACTTTATATTCAGTTTCATATTAATATGCAATAATCTAGGACAAATACAACAAGAGGATGGACAATTGATCACTTATTGTTTTGGTCAAATAAAACCCTCACACCCCAACAGTGAAAAACAAGACATGAAGACTTGGGTTCACTAAAATAGTAAATGGTTTGTATTTATTTAGCTCTTTTCTAGTCTTGATGACCACTCAAAGTGCTTTACAGTTCAGTTTGCCAATCATCCATTCACACACACATTCATACAGTGCATCTATTAGCAGCACTTTTTTTCCATGAGGGGCAATTCGGAGTTGGTGAGCACTGGGATTGAACTGCCAACCTTCTGGTTGGAGGATGACCGCTCTACCCCCTTGCACTACCAAAGCGAAGAGTGGTAAATTTGAACAGAATTGTTAAATGGCCAAGATAATTACGGACAGAGAAACTGTGTTTATTGTTGTGACTGGTGGGTGGGAATGGTGTAAATCTGTTTGAGATGGTGTATATATGGGCCAAACTGTGTGGGGTATAGATGGACACAACAAACTGAAGCCTTGCCGCCTATTTCAATAGCTGCATGGCTTCTTGATAAAGATAACATGGCTCGAAGTGTTCATAACCAACAGTGACACTTTTATTAGCTCATTTGATTAGGTTTTAGGGGAAAGCTTTGATTTTTTTCACTGTCACGGATGATTTTTAATAAAATCAGCCAATACTCAGCAACTGGCTGCATCCAGATTTTCTTACCAGCATGCTATTAAACCCTAAAAACAATATCTGACATAGTGTGTCTGAAACAGAGCATGAATTTATTTCTGTTTATGGAGCTATATTAAATGAAGATCACACTATCTGAGATTATGTATGTATATATTGCATATAGTGTTGGGTGTAATAAATATTATGTTTATGTTTGGACTGAATTTTGCATTTCTACTTTATAATTTGGTATGTTTGTATCTTTGTTTACATTATCTGTCAAATAATTTCACAAATCTCTGTCTGTCTACCTCTCTGTCCAACTCTATGTTGTTTGCATATCTCAAGATGTGTTCATCTGATCCGGAATATGCAATATTGAATTTGGTGTCATTTGGACATTTGATTTGTCCAATATAAATACACTGAATAAACAGGCAACCAGTGCTCTGCAGCATAATGTAGCCATGTGTTCATAAGATAGGTAGATTCTCCAGTTCTGAGTATTGAGTCGAGCTTCACTGAACTTTGAATTAACAGGTGAACATAGTTTTGTGTAGCAGTGGTGGAACAGCTTCAGGGTTCTGTGCGGAGTCCTCCTGTGGCTTAATTTCAAAATGAGGCTGTAACCAGCATCATCACAGGCCACGCAAGCAGCCCTTTCCAGACAGGCATGTTTAGAGCACTGCATCATCTAATAAACTACAATTACTATACTGCAGTGATCAACTTAAATACTTAAAAATGAAATAAATCCTAAAGAGCAGAATTTTCTACCTGTGTTTGAGTCGAGGGCTGCGAGTCGGGGGGTACAGTGAAGTGTGAGTGCCCTGGAAGCTCCCCTGAGCTCTGAGCCCTGGTTTGGGGATGGGCCGACCTTTGACCTCCTCCTCCATCTTCTTCCACTGCTGTCGGGCCAACAGAAAGTCCACATGCTCACTGGAGACATTGTCACTGCGCATCTTCTGGTACACACAGAAATCTGCAGGAACCTGAGGAGAGAGGAGGAGCAAGGTTTAGATGGATCAACTTACAGAACATGGGGAGATGTTTTCAGTGCAAGAATACCGATACTGTCCTGATATACATGGTGAAATAATTCAACTGGATACTCTATTATTGTGTGCTGCAGAATAATCCAGATTGAATCTCTTTGGTTACTGGGGCACAAAGACTCCTGTATCTCTCTATGTTTTCGACTAATAATAAAATGTAGTTACTGAAAAAAAGGGTCCAGTGAAACATTACTCAAAGATCTGAAGGCTCACCCTCCTGTCAGGGTCTGTGGAGCTGGCTGTGGAGCTGGCAGAAGGAGAGCGCAGGAACAGATCTCTCCTCCTCATCAGTTCTTCATCATCCTCATCATCATTATGGCCTCCCCTCCTCCCCTCTGTTCCCTCCTCTCTCTGCTCCTCTCTTCCACTCTCTGCCTCCGCCTCCCTTTCTTCCTCTTGCCTCTGCTCATCTTCCTCTACTTTCTCGTCTTCCTTCCTCCCTCCGTCACACGTTTGCTCCTGGTTGGTGACCTCAGTGGCTGTGAAAGCAGCCCACTGGTCGTCTCCGGCGTCGCTGTCAGAGTACACAACAGCCAGCTCGGCCTGGAGGCAGTCGCTAAGGTGACCTTCGCTGAGGTCATCTCTGTTGCCAAGGTCGTGACCCCAGGCCTCCTGCGACATGGCCGCCGGCTGCTCCAAGTTGACAGTCAGGGGCTCAGATGATAAGGGATGCAGTGGACTGCCAGAGATGAAGAGAAACTCTGACAGAGCATCTTCTTTCATCCCTCCCTCTGTTTCTCCACTTTCTCCGTCTTCACCCTCGATTTTTTCCCGCCCTTCATCTTCTCCCTCTATTTCTCTCCTCCCCCAATCTTTGTTCTCTGTTTCTTCTTCACTTCTATCTTCTCCCTCTATTTGTCCTCTATCATCATCTTCTACCTTTATTTCTCTTCTCTCTTCAACTTCCCCTTCTATTTCTCCTCTCCCTTCTTCTCCCTCAATCTCTCCTCTCCCTTCATCCTCTCCTTCTGTTTCTCCTCTTCCTCCATCTTCTTCCTCCTCTGCCCCTCTCTCAGTGTCTTGTCCTTCTTCACTTAGACCTCCTCTGTCTTTTCCTATCTCAAAAACAAGATAGTCGCACTCATCTCCATCACTTTTTCCATTTCCCCTCTCTGCAGCTTCTTCCAACCCATGGAACTCTGGGTAATGGAGTTCCTCCACTTCCGGGCTGTGGCAGTTAAATAGGTTGTCTCTTTGCAGGTCTGTTAGTGGTGGTGATGAACTGATCTCCATGGTAACTGGATCGGTTGGCTGTGTGGGAGTGGAAGAACTGTCCGCAGGGTGACTGTTGTCAGAGCTACTGTTGTCGTGGTTACCCTCAGTTAGCTCAGCTGTTGTCCTCCTTAAACCAGCTGTGGCTCTCTATGGAAATATATATTATTAATATAGACAATATAATATCACTCAGATATATAGGACATTTGTTATTCAGTGGAAAAAAAGACCTGTTGGGTCACATATATGCTTTTTTACTGAAAAAGAATTATCAACCAGAAGTCCCTCAAGTGCTCAAAATAATGTTAGACATGCAGTTTGAACACTTGAAGCTCTAAGACTGCAATGCAAACTCTATCAGCTGATGAAGATCCATTGTGTTAGTTCCACAACATCGGTTAAAGGTACCTTGACTTGAAATTGTTTTGTCAAATACAAACTCATAATTCTTACTTGGTGGGTTAAGTTTTTCACAGGTCCCATGAATTTAACTTCATATATCATACTACTGTTGATTTTTTAATCTTTTTTAAAGCTGCACTCATCAACACTATTATTTAAATAGTATATAAAACTATTATTTTAAGGTGTCACGCAACTCTGTACTTCAGCTTTGTGGACCATTTAGCATCTTTCTGTTTTTGTTCACTTATCAGCAACAAGCTAGGATAAGAGAGTATTTTACTCTTTTGTTGCAAGAAAGCAACAAAGTTACAATATATAACAGAAAAATAAAATGTATATACGAGAACTTGCAAAAAACTAAATGAGCAATAAAAATGACAAGATGTGAGCAAAACCAAGAGAATAACAACAGTTTCAGAATAGAACTGGATTAGTTTGTGTATTCTGCAGTTACATTCATCCTGACACACAGGCACATCAATAACACCACAGTTCATACCCCCATACACACAGCAGAGCAGATTAAAGCACAGTATATGGCTTGTAAATGTTGGGCTGAAATCAAACCTTCATATTGTTACCATGGTGGCAGTGCGTTGGCTGTGAGTGGGCCAGCAGATTATTATGGTCTGGCGTTCCAAGCATGTGCTGGTGACAGATGGGAGGTGTTTCTATGGTAACGCTAAGTATAGATGCAGAGGTGGGCAAGCTGCTAAATCAATTTTCTTTCAGTTAAGTCACAGTGTTTGGAGGAAGATCAGATTAATCACATATCATTCACATCATTTACTCGACTTATTTATACTGAATCTACTGACCTGAGTCAGTGTGGAACACTGACAAACACAAGCCCTAAAATGACTGCACCTCAGCCTCTGTAGACTAAATTAGATCATTTATGAAAAGGATGAGCGTTTAAGCACCTGGATTAGAGCTTCTAGGTGGAAACTGAGTGAAACCTTTTTTCATGCAGAGCCTGACTGGTTTCTTAAACTATAAACTACTCAGAACCAAGTGTCACAGAATTGTTTCTTGAGGCCAGTGCTTGAAGAAGTAATAATTATTTTACCAGGACAAAAGTGAATCTACTTTGAATCTCTTTCAAGTTATTATTTAGACATTCATTCTTTATGGTGGTCACCACAGAAAAACATTTTAATTTTCCCATTTAGACACATTTTGTGTTTGCTATTCTAAAGATAGATAAACCATGAAGAGAAGATTCTTCTTCGACATTGTCAGACTGGTTGTGAACTATCCACCAATATCAAAAAAAGAGCCATGTCTTACAGCAACAACATAAGCTGTGTCCCAATTTAGCTGCATTTGAACAGTGAGTGCATCACAGTGGTGCAAATATACTGTCCCATTTCCCTTGACAAATGTGTCCATCAATTCCCAAGCAACAATGGATCCAACTTGGATCATTCCCGAGCTAACCGATCCCAGCATTCATTGCATGCCAGTGATGAAGTTAACAAGCTAGTCATGCAGCAGGTTATGCTGGCTATGCAGTGGCACAAAGTAGCGATTAATGCAATGGTAAGATTGAGATGAGTGAGTGACACAACAAGGCCACAGACCAGACCATCTTGTTTTGGTCCAGCCTTTGTGCTCAATCTTCTGAAGGTGGAGCAAACACAGCTATTGATTATTAGTCATCACTTTCCAAAACTACCCTTCTGTTATTTTTTTGATTTAGCATATTTGCTGCTGAACATTTCCCGTGTGAAACCGATCATAACCGTGACAATGAAGGCTCTCTAGCATTAAGGATGTTCCAATTTTAACCTGCACCGTGAGATCAGCCAAAATCCCATTAGAGGTAATTTCATATTCACATAATGATACACATCATAAGTAGTTACTCATACCTATTCTTTATACTATCTTCCCAGATGTATCTTGTAACAGCAGCTCTTGTCTCCCATCATCTTTTTGATTCTCGCCCATATGTTGTATTGTTGGCCTCTTGCAAAGCCTGAGTCTGGGGTTTGTTTTAAGCACTCAGCTGCAGTTTTGAGGCGCTTATGCATAGGCTCTCTCCGCTGTGTCTGAGGTGGTATTTACAGTCTGTTGTGGGGACCAGTGTGTGGCATCATTTGTAACTTACGGTTTGTTGTCCTACCTAAAGCACCTCTATGTGGCAGAAGTAGCTCTTTAAGGTATGAACTCCTTGTTTTGTCGTGACTGATTGGAGTCCTCCTGTTTGTAATTACCCCATTTTGTGTCATATGCAGTCTCCTGGTCAGCCATCCACTTAGATATAGTTTTTATTTTTCCTCAACCACAGAAAAAGACCTGCCCCTAACCTGCCTTTGTTTGGTTCACCCCTAACTCTAACCAATCTTCACTCTCCATGCCGAAACCTTCCCTCCATCCAATGAAGGGAATTAGTACAAGACAGTCAGAGGAAGGGTGGGGGGCAGGGTGTTCCACAGACCTCCTCCCAGAATTTCTGAGATACTACAACAATGACACAAAGTGGTTATAACTAATACTAATATAGGTATTTACATGTCAGGAACAATGTTGGCAAGTTACTTGAAAACTGTTAATTGGCCTGTTCTTATTCCAGATTCACAGGTTATTCGTACGGCAGACTGTTCTTTACCTTGTGAGCATGTGGTCCAGCAGTGGGCCTTCTTAACATATGGTATGAGGAGTTAAGAGACAATTTGAATTGGTTTGGTAAAGTTGACAACTCTCTACATATTGCATATTACTCTAAAAAAGACACTTCACTTAAGTGATGTGTTGGGCTGCTTGACTCATTACTCCGCCCACCTCTGTCAAAGGTGCATCAAAACAACTCAAAATCCTCTATGTCGTATCATTTGTATTTAACACTTGAAAAGTCACGAAACAACATATTTAAATAATTTGAAGAGACTTACTGAACATACGTCAGCTAGCTTTGCCTCAATGACTGCAGCTCTCCAGAAGAACCAAACTCAACAGTTTAATTAATACCCCCTCTATGTGCATGTAGACTACACTATATACTACTGTTAGCATGCTAAAAACAATCAACATGTGAGTAAGACGACTTTGGAATTACCAGGATTCACGTTTTCCTGTGCCATGTTGAGAGGTTTCAGCTTCAAAATACTGAAGCCAGACAAAACTGAATTCAAGCCAACGTATAATGTTAAATTAACAGCTTTACAGGGATTACTGAAGAATGCCCTGGATTTTGAATTGTACTCAGACTACTTGTTAATGACAAAATACATTAGTGTGATGATTTACTAAGTTATGTGTCGCCACCCAAAGCTGGTCAACAAAACATCGACAGCTTGTTTCATTGCTCTAGTATGAATCATGTAACGGTGGCTTGTTGAAACAGTTGAGCACAGTGTAGCAGTTTTTAAGAGGCAGTGAGTCAGCAAGAAAGCACAAACACAGTTAAACCATGAATTAGCAGGGTTATACTGTATTTTCATGCAAGACAAGCAGGAGGGACACACAAATAATGTGTGCAGGTTTGGAGGCATAAGCTGAAGGATGTGGCTATGTGAGCCCACGGCATGCCAAAAGATGAGGATTATTCAACTGGCTATCAACCTCTTAGTTGTGCCCTTCCTCTGCTTCTTATGTCATCATGCAGTTATGTAAATATGGATATTGAGAGTCAGTTCCAGCTTGCATCCCTCTCTCACACACTGTACACTGGGGATTTCATAAGTCAAAGTTTAATCAGACTGAACTCTGTGTGAGGTGATCAATTCATGACAGGAATCGAATGTGTCTAGCGCACATCCAGTTTTTGGTGTGACCCAGTCCGAACTCACTGCCTGTTCCAACATATATCTGCCAGGCACAATCAATCCCCATGGGTGCTCTCCAGATTTTAAGCTGCGGTAATAGTCTGGTAGAATCTAGCTCTGAAAGCCAATAATTTAGGTCTACAAATATTGCCTAAGTGCATGGAAACAGCAGAATGTAATGAACCTTCTCTCATGACAGCAGCAAAAGCACACATGTATGTAAAATCTGTACAATTTAGTTTCATTCATTGATGTTTAGGAGCCATAGCAGTGAGCCAACATGCACAGAGCATGAACAAGAGTGCTGGGATTGGCACAGCAGGATGGAATGTAGCTTTTAATAATGTTTTTAATTACAGGCTACACTCAAAAGGTCCATCATAGGACATTTTGCTGCCCTAATCTAACACTGCCTGAAAATCTCTCTCTTGTCATTCCGCCAGGTTAGAGATTTTGTGAGCATGTGGCAGCCAAAACAAATCTGATTCCAGTACATGAGGAGCTTATCTGGTCATTATTCCATAATAGCTGAGAACAAATGAAGACCAAGCCCACTGATGCAGAAGCTCATATTTCAGATAGAGCAACAACTGTCGCCTCTCATCTAACCTTAAATTGAAGGCGTGGTTATGATTATATATAAAAAAATCATTCAAACATCTGGATTGTAAAACATCCAGATGCATGTGAGGCTGACAGTGCATATCTGTGCTTCTGTGGGTATTCAATCTACGTAATTCTCCGTACATCAGATCTCCAATACTTTAGAGAAGTCACAACATATGGAGAAGAATTGGAGTGTTATTGCACAGCACCTCTCAGATCGAATCCACACTTCTGATCACGGCCTGCCGACATTTGGATTATTGGTGGACCTTCCTAACCCCCATCAACTTCCTCATATTCCTTTTGAAGACATATGAAACCAGTGTCTTTAAACACTAAATTGGCCTTAAAGTGAATTCACTTCTGGCCTGAAACCTCTGTCTGCACCCCCCACCCCCATCAACATCTGGAGACAGTATAATCACTATCATTTAATCAGCTCTCTCTCTCTCTGTCTGTTTGTCTGGGCGGATTATGGAGCAACTTTAGGCATCATGTGTTTTATGGAGGATGGGGAATGAGTGACAGCATGTGGCCTCATCAATAAGCATTCAACAATACCCTATTAAATGATGTATATTCTATTCTGCTGACATCCTGATGTTAATAATAACCTGTTAAACTACAGTATTCGGTTCTGTTATATTCTGTCAGAGGACAGCTGAGCCCAGTGTGTTGCATAACATCGGGCATCGAACCAAAATCGTGACAGATAATCGCGCGCACATGAAGCCAGGACACCGGGGCTCCGTGGCGTCTCGAGCTGAGCCAAAGCTTCGCGCGCGGGGCGACACGGCGCTCGCCAATAACGGCCCCGAATCCCCGCCGCACGAGGAGGAAGAGGAGGGCTGCTCCCGCTGTTTTCTGCTAAAGACGCTGCTGACATGTGTCGCTGGGTTGTCTACCTACCAACAGCTTCCAGCACAGCAGCCAGAACGAGATCATCTCCAGGCGGCCGCGGCGCGCGCATTCCTCTCCACCTGTCCCCGCCGGCAGCGCGAGCAGCCAGGCGGCCACCCGCTTGCGCGAGGAGGGACGCATGCAGGCTGGGCAGCTGCAGCGCGTGTGTGCGTGTGTGCGAGTGGTGGAGAGAGGTAGAGAGTGATAGGACCGGAGAGAGAGAGAGAGTGAGAGAGAGGGAGAGAGAGAGAGAGAGAGAGAGAGGGGGGAGAGAGGGGAATTATGTATTGATCTGTGCTCTTATCGTTCCGGTGAATTAGAGCAGAAGAGAAAAATCCATATTGGCAGACTATTGTACATCTCTCTCTTTCTCTCTCTCTCTCTTTCTCTCTCTCTCTCTCTCTCTCAATCCATCTATCTATCATTACGCGCATGCCGCATCCACCCGCTCCCGCCCTCCAGGCTCTAACACTGTAAAATACAGTTATCTTAACAAGTGGTCCATACATGGGGATGTAACATTCAAACGTCAAGCAGTGAGGTCACAATTTACACTTTTAACACCACTACATTAAGTAGTTGTTGCATTGCACTGTGTGGCAATGCAATACAGCCAAAACCAATGTTCCTATGTTAAAGGTTCAGTGTGTAGAATCTAGCGACATCTACAGGTGAAGTGTCATGTTGCAGCTGAACGACCCTCAGCTCACCATCTCCTTCCAAACATGAAATTAAACCCGTGGCAGCCTTCAGTCATCATACACACTCAGAGGGTGTTTGGTTTGTCCAGTTACTGTAAAAAAACATGGCTAGCACTGTAGAGAGGACTCGCTCCCAGTGTTATAGTATTTCAATATAAAGGGTCTATTCTGGAACTAAAGAAAACAACAATTCATACTATTTAGATGAAACACACTTGTGAAAATTATTATGTTCAACTTATGCTAACATTACATTACAGTTCATGACTCTTTTATCCAAGTCGACTTGCAATAAGTGTATTCAACCATGCTAGAACAGCTAGAATCAAGTAAGTACATTGCTTCAAAAAAGTGAGAAGGGGACGTACCCTCCTGATGTTGTGCAGCATTTATCTACACGAGCGGGTTGTTGCAGTAATGTTGACAGAAAGGGAGAGTTGACTGTCAAGTGTCACACCCAGGTTCCTAGCGGTCTGGGTGGGAGCTACTACCGAGTTGTCAATGGTAATAGTAAGGTCATTGATGGGAGAGCCTTTACTTGGAAGGAAAAGTAGTTTGGTCTTGTCAAGATCCCTTTCACCTAAATCCTACACACTGGACCTTTAAGGGCTTTGCCCTGCATGGACTTCTAACACTGTGGGCTGAATCCAGCACCACACAGTATCACACCCAGTATTATTTACTTTCACAACGTACTTAAGTTTTATTTTGTTTTTGTGTTTTTATACTCATAAACCAGGGTGTGCAGTTTTCAGTATGGTTGCCTGTCACACAGTAACTGCTTAGTGTGACAAAGACAACATAATGGAGCAACAAACGTCAGATGACAGTTTATGGTGCAAATTCCCAAATTCAACAAAAGTGAAGTTTGAGGTGGAGGTCTTCTCCAGAATCTCCTGAAGTGGACTTAAGTGAGGTGGAGGACCGAGCAAGAAGCAAATAAATTCTGGCCCTAGTGATGCTGAGCATAGAGATAGGATCGCTCTCAAGAAAAATGTTAATTGCAAATATACATGACGTTACTTTGCTTCTTAGGGACCTGCTGGGTCTGACAGATGCTGCAAAAAAGTTATAAAAACTTGTTTTAAAAGGATGTATCAGGTTTGTTCAAATGTATTTTTTGTATTTATGTTGGTTTCCTTGTATTTTGAAATAACATTTGTACCATTTTTCACCATAGATAAGACTTAAAGTGCATGAAAATGTCAAGAGGTGTAACCACAAAAGAATAAGAAATATATGTACGTAAGTGTACTTGAATTTTCCTGTATATTATAATATCTTTATGAAAAATACTATAACAGTTACTCCAACTGACACAAACCAGTTCTATCACCTGATCATATTGCTTCTACAGTTAAAGGATATTGTTTGTTGAAGAAATTGGCACTGAAAGTCAAGCATGACTGTCAAGAGGATCAACTGAACCTATTGTTTTATTGTTATTTTCAAGAATGAGAGAGAATAAGAATTATTAAAAAAACATCTGACAATAACAAATCTGTATAAAATCGTTTCTAAAATTGGGTGTATGTGTGTATGTGTGTGTGATAAAGGGGAGCTGAGGTACTGTAACTTTGTCAGTATCACTCACACAACAAAGGAACGACTGGATGAGTGAAGATTTAAGCTTGGAGAAAGGGATACAGACGGATGAACAAGAAGAGAGAGACAGAGAGGCAGACAGGGAAAGAGAGATGAGTGGTTCTTCAGTCATTATGGGGCTCGAAACCCCGCTTTGACCTTCAGATACAAAATCATTATTGAACAGCCACCAAGTTAGACTCTTCATGTAATGACTTGTCCTTTAATCTGGTGACAATCTGCTTTAACCCCTAGATAAGAATGGATTAATTTCTTCAAAGTATTGCTACAGATTACAGATTGTCACTAAAAGTGGGAAAATTGTAAGCAGTGTCCTTGGAGTGTGTGGTATTTGGTCACAGGTCAGGCCAGCGTTTTCTTTTCACAGAATTTGATTCAATCTGTAACAGCAGCTGCCATGAGGATTCATTATTGTGACCTGAGTGACAGGTGTTGTTCTGAGCTCTGCCTCCCTGCCGAGGATGGCACCAACTTTGCGGGTGTTTTGACAGCCACTGGGCCACCGACACAGTGGGGTTTCTCCACGCTCTACACAGACTGCACACAGCTCTACAATGAAGCAACGACACAACACACCGCGTTAGAGATCTTTTACGTTTTTTTTACAAGAGCTGTGGTGGGAAAATAAGACAATGATGAGCTGTAGGAAATGAATGGGAAATGCTATGGAAACAGGAAATGCTGATGACATTGACGGTGACTTCTTTCCACTGAAGTGTAATCAATCAATCAATCAATCAATCAATCAATCAAATGTATTTATATAGCACAGTATCACAACAAACAGTTGTCTCAGGGTGCTGCATAAAAGTTCAAGATCTTAAAAAAGACAAAATCCAACTTGTTCCACACCGAGCCAGCATGAGCAACAGCGGGGAGGAAAAACTCCCAGGTGGAAGAAACCTCCGGCAGAACCTGGCTCGGTGTGGACGGCCTCTGCCAGGACCGGGTGGGGTGACTGGAAAGAAAAAAAAATAATATAGGGGAACAAAAGGAACTTCAGCAAAACTCTCTTTAACCAAACCAGCTGTACAAATAGAAGAGTTTGCATTCAGTATGAACAGAGCTGCAATGATCATGAGATTCGGTAGTTTTGTTATGATTGAAGTCATTTCATAAGCCTAAGTGTTGAACATTATGCAGTCTCATGCTTCTCACGTGTCGATTTGCTTCTTCTCTGTACTGTATGATTCTCCATTGAATATCTTTTAGGAACAGATTATTGGTTGTATGAGATAAGCAATATGAAAGCATCACATTGAGCTCAAGGAACCTGTGGTGCTAATTTTTTTCCTGACATATTAAAGAATCAACTATTCAAAGGAAGAAGATAGGAACTACATGAATCCATAATGAAGATCAACATGAGAAAATAAGACAGAGTTAATTCTCTTATCTTGTCTTTAGCAGCCATGTACACGACCACCGGGTGAGACCGTTGGGGCAGCAGGAGCCACGTTTGACTCATGTGCCTCATGAAGGTTTTTCAATGATTTGGTTCAGACAGGCGACACATGAAAGAAAAGGTCTGGGAGAAACATGAAGGTATGGTGACAGTGGTGTGAATCCTACAGTATGTTGTGACTTTAACAGTCACCAGGAACAACAACCATCAAAACACCAAATGATGACATTTCTTGTGAAAGATGTCCACTCCTCCAGTGGGTGTGACTGGACTAGTTTATGTATTAGTGTAATTACACTTTTAAATATGTCTTTTTTATGGTAGACGTTTCCAATAATGCAAATCGTTACATGTGTTTCTCCTTTGCCTACAGACAAGGTCATAGCCACTGAGCTGCACGCACACAAATTCCTCTGATCACTCTGCCTGAACATCACCAGTGTTTCCTGTATCCCACACACACAGATCAATCAAGCCACGGGACTAAAAATGCATGTCCTCCCACCCCATCCCCATGTGTTGCAGGTATAACTGTGCAGTGACGCAAATACAAATGAGTTCTGCAAATTCCATCATAGACGACCACAGCTTTTTGAGCCTTGTATTAATCCATGTGGTAGGACGTTATAGTGGGATGTGTCACTGGATGAGTTGAATCGATTGTCTTGAGAAATATTACTAAACACTTTCCAACCTGGTTCCCGTCAGAAGAATGACTCCTCCTCTCACTGATCACACACACGCAAAGTTGCTGCATGTGTGAGATGCTCAGGGATATTGTTCATAAAAGTGAATGGTCTACTAAGTTAATTGTTACTACAGCTATCTTCATCTTTTATGGTGATTGTTACTCCAGGCGGGACGTTGTTCTGAAGTCTGCACAGACAAACACAAAAGACTCTGACGATTGATCTTACTTATATAATGTCATGACTATGGATTTGATCTTTTTGCTAGATTTAAATTAAATGCGCTCGATGTCAAGAGAATACAATGTCATGCATTGTGTGCACTATGGGACAAACTTTAACTGAACATCTGCTGAAACTTTGTAAAGTTTAATCTGAGATTTTGTTTGGGTTCACCCCAGAGAAATATAAATATACAATACCAGTTCTCAGACTACTCCACAATGATATTACTGAGTGTTGCATATAATACACACCAGGCTGTGCGATGGTTGCATCAACATTGGCATCATAACTGTGATGCTGACCTCACACACAGTCCACAAAAACACAACTGAACAATCTCCTTCATATAAAAATAATTTTACATTCATACTTTAAAAATAACTCTGTCTTATCAATGTGTTTCGTAGGTCTTAGGAAATCTTTTAAAACAAGCACAGAAAACATTAAGACAGATGTGCCTTACCTGCTGCTGCTGTTTTGTCTGGTTGCCCCTGGTTACACTGGTATTAAAGTGTGATAAATTGTGTTTCTACATCAATTTGTGTCTCTACTCCCTCATATTATTCCTCTCTTTCCCCTTTATAACCTTTCTGTCCCTCCCTTCCCTCCTCTCTTCCTCTCTCTCTCTCTCTCAGTGCCACCGGGGTACATATTGAGTGTGTGTGGGCCGCAGCCAATCAGAAAACCGCAGCTTTAGGGACATTTGCGACACAGACACATGTTCAGCCTCACACTCTCACGCTGGCACACTTAATATAGGATGGACAGAAGCATACACAATTCTCTCTCTCTCTCTCTCTCTCACACTCACACACACACACACACACACACACACACACACACACATCTGTCATCTGTGACCGTCTTATCCAACCTTTCAGAGGATTAGTGGGGTTTTTGACGTCGAAACTCAACTTGATAATCTCCTGCACAGACTCAGTGTGTGTCTGTGTTGTGGGTCTGCACAGAATGCTCATTGCATCATTGTGATCTTGTGTGTAATATCATTGCAGTGTCACAGTCCTCGTGTTTCAAAGATAACATGAGGAAGCCGCTGTCGCACTGATTAACATGCAATGCTGTGTGGGGGTGAGGATGTTATGTAATATACTGATTCAAAAATGTGATGTAGCAGCAATGGAATATTTCTTTAGAACAGCTATAGATGATGGAACTGAAATAGACATTAGCCTCAGGAAACCACATTCAAATATGTGATGCACCAACACACAAACTGAAATTATCGTGCCGGTTTAGTTTATAAAAAAAGATTCAGTGGTTGAGAGCTTACTGTCCCTGAACCTTTATCAGCTCAGGTCGTTTTTGTCATCACCACTAGAGGGCAGAAAAGAGGAAAACAAGTTAATAAAATTCCACTAACTTATTTGTTTGTTAAGTGACATACAGACAGACATACACTAAATGATTCCATGCTGCTGGCTTTAACCCATCATCCTTCTAAAGCTGCAAGACAATACAATAATTGTGTAAAATGTTTTACAGCCAGTTGGCATTTTAACCGGAATAATGATTTTACGATTTCAGGGTTTGGGATTTTTCGTCCAAAATCGAATAGGAGATTGAAGAAATTTGCATTGAGTCTAATGATTTATGTTATGGGGAATTTAGTAATACACATAACTACTAATGAATAGAAACTCTCTGCAACCATATTGGTCATTAGGGATAGGTTAATCAAATCTATATTGTTTATATGTTCCTGTTCAGTACATTTTACAGAGTACAGCTCTCATGTCTCCTGTGTTTTTGGTCCTCTTTTATAAGAAAGACTTTTCATCTCTATTATGGACTGTGTTATTCTTATGTTTGGAATTGTGTTTTAAGTTTTGCTCCTTGTGTCCCTCTCCTGTGTCCCACTCTGTTCCTTTCTGTGTTCACCTCTGTGTTTCACCCTGTGCTTCCCCCTGTGTCCATCTCAGTGTTCCTCTGTGTTCATCTCTCTTTCCTGTTTTATTTTGTAGCCTCTGCTCCTTGTGTGTTTTCCCCCTGGACTTCCTGGCCTCATCAGGTTCACCTGTCTGCCCTGTGCCACTGTCTCTAGTTTCTCATTACTTCAGTGTGAATTTATGTCTTTGTGCTTCCCTTGGTCTTTGTCAGTTCCTTGTTGTGAGATGTTGTTCCATGTCATCCCCTGTGTCGTTTCACCTCTCGCCGTTATTCCCAGTAAGTTCTCTAGTGTTTCCTTGTGTCTTCCCACAAACCGTAACAACAGCCTCCTCATTGGTATGTGCAATATAGAATATACATCCAATAAATGCATGCAGTATCCCCTCCAAGGCCCAAAAGTTTCCTTGAATTAAATCAAGCTGCACTAAATTTCACTCACTCATCATATGAGTGATGTGTCTAAGAGTATATGTGTCTGATTATTTTCTTTCAAGATGATTCTCTGGGAAAATTGTGAAAAGGAGTGAGAATGACTCTTCCACCACATCCATTTTGTAGAAATCTGTTCAGTTGTGTTTGAGTCCTTTTTCTTACAAACAGACATAAAAATCCACCAACAAACAAATGGACAGCTGGGTGAAAAGAAGACCTCCATGATGGAGGTGATAAAGAAAAACATCAGGTTCCACACAGCCACACAGGACCGATGATCAATTAAAACTGAAACAAATATACACTATACTTTCCAGATAATGACTTGATTACATCTCAGCAGTGTTAGCATGCTTGTGGTGTCTTATGGTTTAGCTAATTTGAGCAGGTTACACTGTAGTTTTTTCCTTATAGAAAATATTTAATGGTATTTGTTTCTATTTAATCTGACTTTTAAATACATGGAGCTGTAAGGTCTAGTAGTAAATTACACCATTGTGTTTATTCACCTGAGTTGTTTAGTACAACATTAATTACAACCAATGACTGTGAATCAAGATTCAGATTGTGATGAAACTATTGATCAAGTCAGACAAACATTTGATCCTTTGACTAATGTATGTTAAAATCTGCAGACTCACAACTTAACTATGCACATTCATATTCATGTGTGTGTATTAAGTTGTATTCTGGTACAAATAAGGCTAAACATGCACAAAACATAAAGGAAAAGCATTGAACAGGATGTGTAGGAAACAATTTTGCTGATTTAAGTGCTTTCTTTTTATGAATTATTTGATAAGTGCCTGGAAGTGCCTCTATTAAACATTAAAAATGCCATTGAATAGAGAAACAGAAGAGTACTTAAAAACTAAACTACACAAATAAAACAAAAATCATTTGAATTTAAACAAAAAGGAAACATTTATCAAAGTAATGATAAAGTAGTTCCTTATTCTTTCTGTCATTGGGGCTTTGCTTAATTGTAGTCCATGTCTTGCATAAAAGGTTGTGAAGGTTATTTCAAATGTCAGCAATAGAAGACAACAAGGCTATCAGGAAACCAGAGTTTCCCAAAGCCAGGGCAGCCAAGATGAGAGACTTTTTGAAGGACCCCTGAAACAGAAAGTACAGAATGGAGCAGTTGAAAAAACTTCATCAATCTGTGTCTGTGTGTGGATTTGTGTGATCAGCGCGAGTAATATTCCAATTCAATGTCAAACTGGACTGAAATACTGGAAGGCAACTTACTCCAAGCATTTTTATTGAAAATACTTTGGGACCTGACTCTTTTAAACATGGGGCAGAAAGAATCACAGCAATGTTAGAGAGGATATCAGTGACGACATATAACTGTGACATCTGCTTTGTCCCTTAATGTAGTTCAATCATCAATCAATCATATTTTAATAGGTAAAGGCCATATGTACAAATCATAATTCCCCTCATATGGCTTAACATGGTGTGACATTCTCTGTTCTTGAAAGAGTGAGGAAAAACTACAAAAAATAATGAAGGGAAAACCAACACCTTAGAGAGAGGTGCACGTGAGGGATCCCTCTCCCATGCAGGACAGATAGCAGTGCAGTAGATGTCACAGTTTACAGAGTAAATCAACAATATATCAATGTGGTTTAAAATCTTTAACTTGCAAGCTTGCTAGAAAAGCCAGACTGGCTAATCATCACTCTTGAGTTGACAGGCTGGTCAACATCTGTGGTCATCCTGCCGGGACGTTTTACTTTGAACAAGCTCTTCTGTCATTTATCAGTGATTTGAACGTCTCCACAGCATTTTAAACAGAGGATGTACTTCCTTCAGAGGACTTTTGTCGAAATGTGATATTTCATAACCTTGGGTCCCACATAATAATGAATAAACATGTGTAGATGAAGAACAATGTTGCATACAACAATAAATAGTTTTTTTTAATCATAAATACATATTACAGTGAGGCTTGTTAGTTGGACGCATTGCTGTGCAAAACCTAAGTACAGGTCTGCATGCACCCATCTAGAAGACCACATGTGGCCACATTCTTTTCGCCACAAAACCGCCTACTCAGATTATGTCTCTGACTCGCTACAGTTTAAAAGTACTCTTACACTTGTCAGTGTCCATACATTGATTTGTTTGTAGCCACCACCACAATATCAACGCTGATCTTCAATGGTTATTTGCATACAGAGCAGGTCACAGGAGACAACATTCAGGACACACGTCATGACCAAGTGTGAACACATGCTGTCTACTTGTGATTGGATCTGTGAGGACGAATGTTAGAAGTGGGTGTGAACAGGGTCTCCGTTACAGTTATGTTAGGCAGCTGAGGCAATACTGAACACTGTTAAATGAACTGCAAACATACTCCCGGGTTCAAGTTACTGAGTTCAAACATTCAAGGACATGAGCTGGAAAATACACATAATACTACTCTGTACTGAGAGAGGCCTGATTATACAAACAAGTCAAAATGACTCCTGTGTAACTAATGTCTGATTGTGATCAATTCAATAAAAAACAAATTTAGAAGAATGAAGGGTTTGATATTGGTGCGGAGAAAAGTCACTTGAAATTTTATGAAATGAAAACACAACTATTGAGAAAGTGGTGGTGTGAAGTGGGTACATACCCGGGAAGAGGGCTCTGATTGGTTGGAATGGATTTCCTGTATGTCATCTGGCCCTAGTGCTGTAGGTAAAACAAACAACAGTTGGAATCTGATGTACAATCAGTGCTATGCAGACTTACAACTCATTCCTTATCATGACAATTCATCAATACAAAATTCCACCAGTAAAAACATTAACTCATAATCAATTTCATGAAAGTTTTCATACCTTTTTTGATGTTAAGGTGTTTGTGAATCAGGAGCATGAATCTGAATGAGGCCAGCCATGTCACATAGCCAATCAAAACATGCGTCGTCCATGGCTGGGGGAGGAGCAGTGATGATTGATGTGTACCCAGGAACATGGCCACCACTGTAGACAAATAGAGAACACAATCTAACTTTAAACAACCAGGTAGGGTGTCCTGTGAAGTTAAGAGTTTAAAAAATATTTGTAGAAAAACCTCTTTGGAATTTAGTCTTCAAACCAACTCACCTGCCAAGATCTCAGTCAGAGATCCAAGTCCCCAGTGGGCCCAGTTAAACAGATATCTCCTGGAGAGAGAGACGCACAAATAATACCAACAAACTCATACACTGAAATAAACAATGTTCTTAAATGTATCACACTCTCCATCAATCAATCCATTCATCTTTCAGCCAGTTATTCACGCTGTCAGACAGTTTGGCCTCCATGCACAATAAAAAAGTTAACAGCAAGATCAAACTCACTGTGCTGACTCTGGCCAACTTCATATGACCTCAGTGCAGCATTTGTTTAGAATATAGGACAAGATGTTGAATGTCCCTTATAAATTTAACGGTCTTCTGCACAATTTCGGTTCCCAACTACCAGTAGGTGTTAGCAGTGTCAGTGGCCACCAGCAGCTATTAGGGACATATACATATACAATTGGCTGTCAGACATTCCATGCTCCTGTGTCACCTGGAAACATGAGTCGGTACCAGAGACAGTTCTGTTCTGGTTCAAATTGTACCTCTGTTTCTGTTTCTACATCTGTAAATTCACAGATAGTCCTGTCTCAGAGAGGCTTCTATATGAGAGGGTGTCATTTATCCTGTTCTGAGTGCTCATAGTCTAAAGCAAATATGAAAATGGAATCCCTTCATTTGATTCTAGGGGGAGTGAAAAAGACAAATTTAAAACAACTTACTCTTGACAAATATGTATCAGAAATCTCCTCCTTAAAATTGTCTAGAGATGATTTTAGCTCAGTATTATTATTTTTTTATAATACATGTGGAGTGTTTACCTGTGAGAGTCAGGTCTTGGTCTGAACACAGCTGTTATTGGTTGAATCAGAGTTAATGCCACAACACAACAGCCCAGGTAGGGATGGACACCTGCATGCTGCCAGCCAGCACACACACACACACACACACACACACACACACACACACACACACACACACACACACACACACACACACACACACACACACACACACAC